GTGAGTTGCAAAAAAAAATGCATCCGTTATTGTTCAAATTCTAAAAGACCGGTCCGTCTTGTTCAGGATGGGGCTATTGGTCCACATGCAGTGAGACGTGCGGCGAAGGCATCCGGAAACGAGTGCGAAAATGTTATGGAAGTGGTCAATGCGGTGGCAACGAGTACGAGAAGCAATCATGCTTTCAACGTGCCTGCGAACGAGTATAGAGAGTGGTCAAACGAACGATCCGAAGCGAATGCCTCAGATGATAACTGCCCTGACTACCACAACTTTCCTCTTCCAATTGTCATAGGTTATGTCTATGTGTCATACTATCCAAATATTAAAGGGACCGATTTTCTTTCTTCCTCAACGTCTATTCCCAATCCGTTGATACGAGGCATCCTTTAACAGTTTATTGGATTTTGATCAGAAGGTAGGAAATCTGATCTCGTCACTCAATGTTCACTGGACGTCGTCTCGTCCATCCTAAATATTTATAATATTAAGTCGTTCACATAGTCATGAATATCATTATGATATATTTATCATCTCTCAATTTCTTCACTTCGTGTTTTGTATATATTGATATACCAAAAGAGTATAGGTTTTACAATAGGTATAACATATGAGGATTTCTCATACAACTTTTTTTTAGCTACGGTTTCTGTATGGTTACTCTTACTGTCTGTGTCCCACTAGGCCCTGATAATATTTCAATCTGTATTCACTTGATTTCAAAGTTTTCCATCGATTGATGGTTGTGTTTGCGGGTTTTATAATATAAGGTTGTCTACTGACATCATCAAGTATTTAGAATAAAGATCTGTTGTGTACATAAAGAATTGCTGAAGTCTGAGTGTAAATTCTCCAAAAATGAAAGTACACACTTTGCAACAAATGATCAATGGAGAAAAATAGTATATCTGCTGAAAAAGGGGGTTGCGGTCATACTAAGAACCGGTAGAGACTCAATGTATTAGGTCTCAGCACTTAAAGCAGAATTTTCGCGCAGTTTTTATCAAACTCGAACTTCCATACCACATATTGACATGTGTAAAATTGGCCATGCCAATCATTAGGTAACTTTTTCCTCCTTATCTTTTGAATGAGATTTGTTCGTCATAATGTCGAGAAAACCATGAACTCGACATTTCGCGAACAGTTCAATGTCGCGAGTTCGAAAGAAGCGAAATGTCGGGCTAAACAGTGATAAATAGATTTGAGAAAAAGACCACTTTCTGGAAACCTTGAACCAGGTGGCACCCGACGAACTTTGATTACAAACTCTATTTTCCCATAGTAGAAATACAACGCAGGGAACATGCTGCCAGTGAAATCTTGCAATCTATGCAATATCGTATCTTTTATAGGGATTCAACTACTGGACAACATGATAATTTAGATTTAACATGGGGTTCAGACTCTGTATGCCATATACGCAACAAAGTTTCCAAAATCATTTGAATGACTATTTTCACTATAAAAATATCCTGTGCTCAACCAACCTCATGGTAATAAGTATAAAATAGGTTTGTGTATTCAAACTGCGCGTGTTTCTGGATCAGAAAATCTTGCAACAAT